GTTACATTCAGTATCTAGGTGAAGCAAATGAAGATTATCGTGAAGATATGAGCGATTGGTGGTTGGTAGATTAGGATTTATTGTTTCATGATGTTCTATTATTGGGACATCACTGTGGTGCGCGTTCCTGTGTTGAATGGAACACTACGTTCTACCGTAACCTTTTCTGATCATCACAGGAACGCGACGGCTGTTGAATTGACGAGGTGCTGCGTATGCTCCGTTGGGCCTTACGTAGCCACGACGAGCCGCACCTCCACGATTGAGATCCCTACCACCGTTGAAATTAGTTATTACTGGACCTCTGTTGGCTCCTGCATTCCCGTTTAGTCGTTTCGGGCATGGACAATACTCTGAATCTGCGCCTGGTTCACCAGCTAGTCCATCCTAAAATTTGCACTTCGTTCAAACGATGTATACCATCATATCAACAGTCATTATTTGAAACTCAGGTGTCTTTCTAGTGAATGCTAACGATAAGGTGCATCGATAGAATTATTCATTATCGAAGCATAAAGAACGCTAAGAACTTACGGCTCCAGGTGCACCTCTGTTTCCGGCCAATCCAGGCTTGCCGGCAATTCCCATTGGTCCCGGTGGTCCTTGAGCATCAAGCACAGAGGCGCTAGCAGGTGCACCAGGCTGGCCAACCGGTCCCTGAGGTCCTGGAGGACCCTTAGGTCCAGGTAAAGCCACACCTCGAGTTCCTGAGGCACCTGCGGGTCCAGCCAGACCTGGTGGGCCGAGAGATCCTGATAACAGACAATGTGAAATCATCCTCAGAGCATTTCAATTCACTTCATAACATAATTAATTTCTCGTATGGATTGCCGAGCGCATCTATGATAACGTTTGGAAGAATCATTTCCTGGAGTTGCGATAAATATTACCTCCAAGCCTTTTTAACTACGGTAACTAGCCACGCCCACAGTTAAGGCAAGCAACGGAAGCAGTACCTCAATGGGTTAAATGACTACGGTAACTGGCCACGCCCACAGTTAAGGCAAGCAACGGAAGCAGTACCTCAATGAGTTAAATGACTACGGTAACTAGCCACGCCCACAAATTGCGGTAGTTAGCCACGCCCGCACTTAACGAAAACGTCACGAATCGAGTGAAGATGTGAACAGTTGAAAAATCAGAAACGGTCACACACATTTATCGGTTTAAATGACGTGGAATGATCCAAGCTAATTTATTATTTAATTTAGTCTTATGTTGTAAGTGTTAGATCACAACCTGTAAGCTTTGTCATGCTTACAAACTAAAGGAAGACCATTTGGGCTAGGCCCAAGCATTCATAAATTTCTCGTCATTTTGGCCCCATCAAATTTTATCACCAATGATAATACTAATGGTNTGGGCCAGGTGGGCCTTGTAGACCCGCAGCAGATCCGAATTGTGATGCTCCGGCTTGTCCGGCTGGTCCTTGCGGTCCAAGCGCTCCGTCGGGACCAGGTAGTCCCGGTGGTCCAGCTGGGCACTTTATGCATCCGTTGACTCCCCCGTTCACCGCGACAGCCACACCGCTTAAACCAGGTCTTCCATCCAAGCCTCTCTCACCAGCGTCTGAAATTTCCCAATATGTGATCAACGATGGATGATTACTGCCGAATGTTCTGCCAAAATTATGATAAAAACAACACGAAACACTCGCAACTAAGCACTATCAATATTTTACTAACCTCCTGCACTGCCAGGTATGCCTGGAGGTCCGGGTGGTCCAGGTGGACACTGCATCGGGGCACTATTTGACTGTTCGGGTGCGTTGTTGACTTGAGCTGAGGAAGTCTGTTCAACGGCCGCATCTCTCGATGAATACCGTCCGCTCGAGCCATCGTTATAGCCTCGAGCTGCAGCTACGCGTTGTTGCCGAGGGACACCGCCTGAAGAGGCTCTCCAGCTTTTTCGTGCTCTCATTCGCGTATTCCAAGCTTCTTGATTCATGTTATGTCGTTTCTCTCGTACAATGCTATCCTCAGTTTGCTCTTCACTCATCGGTTCGATGTCAAAATCAGAGACACGAAGGCGATTCATTTCCATCATATTGTCCCAGGCATCGTTTGCCATTAACTGAATCAAAATTCCTTTTTAGAGCATCATAAAAATCATTCATTCTGAAATTTTAGGAGTTCTGAATTGATTTTCGTTGGAGAACATGAATTGTAATTCGTGTGCAATTTCATGATCCATTAATATTAATTCTCGAATAACGGAAATATTTTCGACTGAATACATCGACACTGAATCGGTGGAATATCAATTTGATAGATGGAGGTGATTCATGATAGTTATTTGATCTCACAGTTGGAATACCTTGAATTGATCCATTTCTTCGAGGATCTCGAAGTAGAACGAGTTGATTTGACCGAACAGGTGAATTATTGCAACGATCGATGCCAGAACCACTAAGCTAGTGCCCGCAACAGACGAGCCAATAAGAAGCCGTGACATCTTCGTGCACCTTCAACAAATATCATTTCGTACAGCAGAGACCAACTGAATCCCTGATCGAGTTCGATCACATTCACGAAAAATTCGAAATTCTCTTGAAAAATCGAACGATCTGCGTAATTCTTAACAAAAATTTTGAGACACTCAAGAAACGGAGCAATTCATCCAATTTTCTGAACAAAAAAGCTCATTTCTAATCGTATGAAAAAAACTTTTGAATAAGCAACTGAAATGAAAGCATTCTAATGAGAAAAATCAAAAATAAGTAGGTCAGTGATCTCCGTTTGATAACAGAGTATTCAAAACATTGATGGTTCATCAATGAAACCGCTTCAATGCAACAGATCGCTTATATATTAAGCAGTCACAACAAGTATTTCATTTATGGTGTTGAGTTTATGCATTCCGTTCCGTGTGTCATCTTTAATTTCGTTACGGTTCTCAAAAATGGTCATAAATTTGAATGCGATCGAAAATACATACAATCACCGTGATAATTTAGTTGTTGTTGTGTTTGTGTGTGACTTCTTTGCTGATTTATCTTTATCGTTTTCCTGTTCCTTTCAGTTTCGTTCGCTCGTTCATCGAACCATTAATGTGCTGCTTAACAAATAATGTTATTGTTCAATAGACCATTGAACACATTTAATAAACATTCTATCAAAACCAGTTTATGAACAACAATCGCAGATTTCACTATTCATCGCAAATGAGCGAGCGATTCATTCGATGTTCGATGCATAAATGCAGATGATAATTCTCTCGATGACGACTCCAATCAATTTCATTCATTTGAACTAGAATTCCATGCGAAAAGATTCGGCAAAACGACAGCAACATCAGTAAGGGACAAGTAGATAGGGATTATAATAATGTTGAAGAATAATAGTCAAATTTCAGGTTGAACTAACTTACCTCTTATGAAATCTTTGCATAGTGATACATCTTTTTGAAATTCGAACTCATAAGATCTCCTTTGATCTATAAGATGGGTCAATTTGTCAGGAAGTAACGGAGGGGACCGGGATATTAATTCTGTCGTTTTACGTATAAATAATAAATTATTGTAGCGGGAGAGGGGGTAATAACAGCCTGCCAGACCATCGAAGGAGGTAATGGAGCATCCTAGCTTGGAAATCAATGATCTCTAGGTAACAATTTCGAAAAAACTTTTCTATCAAATTGGTTTTTCGTCAGTTAGCGATCACTTTTCTGCAATTATAACTACTTATATAGTCTTTCTGCGTCATCACCCATAAATTGGATAAGATTCCAATGCGAATTAATTGCTTTAACACTATAGAACACATTCGAACACTTTATTTTCATCAATCAAGCAAAATTGCTGTCACGCTAAATTACATTATGTTAAAATACTACAAACGTCATCATAATCACAAACACAATTCTTAGAATACAGTGAATAATATTGCAATAAATATCATCTTGCGTGCTGGATAATCAATGGCATGGATTGAAAGAAACTCTTTTATTAGTTTTCCAATGAATTGGAGAATT